GGCTGGGGGACGGGACCGGGGACCCCCCGTGGGACCCCACCCGGGACACACCTCCCCCCCGCCCCCGCCGGGGCCACCCTATAGATAGTCATTAATCCCCGTTAATGAGATGATCCTCATTAGCTGCTGAGAGGGGGGTGGGGGGGGCCGGCTTGGCCATGCGTGTGCACAGCCGCGCGGGAGCGGGCGCGCGTGGGTGCTTGCACACGCGTGTGCGCGGCCCCGGCCCCCCCGCGCGTGCACGCGCCCACGTGCAAGCGTCCGCGCACACAGACGGGCAGGCGGGTGGGTGCACGTGCTGCGCACGGCCAGGCACGCGCGCGGAGACCCTCGCACACGCGTGTGCAACGGGGCTGGGTGTCACCTGTGTGTGTGTGTGTGTCCCGAGTGGGGACCTGTCACCTCCCTTGCACCAGCGAGTGGCTGTTTGCATGCACGTGTGCACCTGGCCCAGTGGGGACTGGGAGCTACTGGGAGCACTGGGCTCCCCCCCCAAGGTGCCATTCAGGCTCCGGTCCCCAAGTGTCACGGGGGGGGACACAGGGGACCATGGGGACATCCCAGGGGACTGGGTGGCCCTGGGGGTGCTGGGGGACCGTGGGGAGATTTCCGAGGCTCTGGGGGGGGTCCCAAGGGTGCGGGGACAGGGTGACACCTGGTGGCAGTGAGTGGTGTGGCACCCACATCCCCTGGGTGACCGGGGAGGGGATACACACGGTGTCCCAGTGTCCCCGAGTGGGTGCCTGCAGTCCCAGGGGCCTGACTGGCCTGACTGGGTGCAGACCATGTCCCTGAGGGGTGATAGCATCCCCACGGGGGTGATACTGTCCCCAGGTGGTGTCCTGCCCCCAAGGGGATGACCGTGTTCCAAGGGCTGTGACCGTGCCCCTGGGGGGGAAATCATGTCCCCACTGGGATGTCCATGTCCCCAGGGAGGTGATGGTGTCCCCAGGGGGGTGTGACGGGTGTCCTCGGGGGGTGACAAACAGGCAGAGCCGGGTGACAGTGCTCTGTTTTATTTACAGGCTCTCAGGGTGGGGGGTGACCATCCCTGTCCCCATGGGGGTCCAGGCACTGGCATGGGGGGGTCCCACCCCCCTCTGAACTCCCCCGTGAGAGCAAAGACATACAAATAAATACAACCAGAGGAAAAACATCAGCTGGTAAGTCTTGTCCCAGTACCTCCCAGTAGCCCTGCAAGAGGGCTGGCTCTGCACTCAGGGGATGGGTGTCCCTGCAGCAGGAAAGGTCCCTTGAAGGAGACAAGGAGGGGACACCATGTCCTGTCCCGTCCCCCCAAAATCCCTGTGTCCCCTCCGGTATACCCTGGCTGGGGCTGGGGGTGTCCTGGGGTCCCTGTCACCACGGGGTGTCACGTCCCCTGGCATCCTCGGCGTCACAGCATGAAGATCTCGTCCTCAGCGTCACGGAGGGCAGCCGCCCGTGGGGTCCTGGTGAGGGGCCGGGGGCCGAGGCGGGGACCCCGGGGGGCCAGTGGGCCCCCGGCATCGGGGCTCCGGGTGCCTTCGGCCTTGGCCGTGCTGCAGGGGACGCAGCGGGGTGGCACTGAGGGGTGGCCTTGCCACCCACCCACCCACGCTGCAGCCAAACCCACCTTCCAAAAGACCCCATTCTGCCCCAAAAGGGGAGGCGGGACAGGCGCGCTCACCCTGTGCTGCCAGCGCGGAGCCGTTGTGCCGCCGCCACCGCCTTGGAGCGCCCGATCTCGGCGTCGAGCTGCCGTAGGAAATCGGTGGCTGAGAGGTCGTGGCGGGATGGGATGGGGGCCACCGGGATGTCCCCCGGGGGGACGGGGACATCCTTGTCCTTCTCCTCCTCATCCTTGTCATCGTCCTTGTCCTCATCTTTGGGGCAGGGTCCCCCCGGCTGTGCCGGCACGGGGATGAGGAGGGTGGGCTTGAGAAAGATGGTGTCCGAGGTGTAGAGGCGGTTGGCGCGCTTGATCTGCTCCATCTGCCGGGGACCGGGATGGGGACAGGGATGGGATGGGGACAAGAATGGGGACAGGGTAAGGGTGGGGACAGGGACAAGGACAGGGATGGGATGGGAACAGAGATAAGGGCCAGGAGGGGGACAGCGAGGGGATGGGGACAGTCACAGGGACAGGGTGGGTGAGGGAAGGGGACGGCGACAGGGATGGCCCCATGGGGACTGAGGGGCTGCCGGGGGACCACGGGTTCGTCCTGCCCCCGCCGGCCCCGGGGATCCCGCCCCACACCACCCCACGGCCTCTCCGGACCACTGGAGGGCCGCCCCCCCCCCTCCGCAACGG